ATGTCTGTCTGTCTGTCTGTCTGTCTGTCTGTCTGTCTGTCTGTGTATGTCTGTCTGTCGTAAACTTGATACATTTTTATATATTATTATTATTTTCATTATAGCTGTACATGTTTCTCCATCATAAATTAAGCGTCCTAATAATACTAAAAAATCAACAAAGGATTTCTTTATATTTATTTTTCATTTCGAGATTTTCTTGACTCTGTATAATAAATAAATCTATTAAATAATGACTGTCTCTCTGTCCATCCATTCATCCATCCGCCCACCTACCCACCCACCCATCCACCCACCCATCCATCCATCCATCCATCCATCATCCCACCTACACATCCATCCATCCATCCACCCATCCATCCATCCATCCATCCATAAACCCACCTACCCATCCATCCATCCATCCATCCATCCATCCACCCACACACCCGTCCACCTATCCAACCAACCACCAGTTCATCCATCCATACATCAATCCAACTATCCTTCCATCCATCCATCCATCCATCTACCCATCCATAAACCCACAAACCCATTCATCCATCTATTCAACTATACTTCCATACATCCATAAACCCACTAAACCACCATCATTCCATCCACTGACGGACACACCCTCCCACTTATCCATCCACCCACCCACCTATCCAACTATCCTTCCATCCATCCATAAACCCACTCACCCTCCATCCATCCACCCACTCATTGGTCCATCCAATTATCATTCCATCCATTTTTTAGAATAGAAAATTCATCCATAATGGAATATAATTCATCCATCCATCCAACTATCAATCAATCAATCAATCAATCAATTGTTGTTCATATCTCTGTCAAAATAAATAAATAATAATAATAATAAATAAATAATAATAATTATATATATGTGTTTTTTTTCATCTGCATCTGTCCTCATGCATCATGATTGTACTGCTCTTTCATGGGCTGTAATTGTAATAATAATAATAATGACAGACTCACTCTGTTGTCATGTTCATCCATTCAGTGAGCGTCTCTATGGAAACGCCTCCTCTCCTCTCTCTCCATCTCTCTCTCAGTGGACACAGGTGTTCGGTGAGCATCTCCAGTAATGTGGACACTAGTGGACTGATCTACAGACAGCAGCACGTCTCCACTGACCCTGCTAAAAATCAGCTTCACTGCTCTGGGTGAGTCTCCTTCATTCTGCCTCGGGGAAAAAAGGTTTGCTTATGAGAGTTTTTGTCTTGTTTCTAGTCTAAATATCTAAAAAAAATACTTAGTAAATAATATTGTAAATATTGTAATGATGAAGTAAAAAATATTGTCTTGTTTTCAGAAATAACGAGTCAAAATTAAGAGAGTTTTCCTGAAAAACAAGTAAAATAATTTGACAATGGGGGAAGGAAAAATAATGCTATTTCAGAAAAAACTAGATTATTTCACTGACCTATAAATAAAAGTAATTTATAGTAAACACATCAGTCTTTTTGAACTATACTATAGTTATACTATACATTGTAGTATTTTTGCTCTTTGTTAATAAATGCTCCGGCATACAGTAGTACTAACTATAGTGAACTGATCAACTGAAATAAATACTGTGGTGTATTGCCGTAAACTATACTCTATAGTGTAAGTACTGTATAAACTACAGTATTGGGCAATTTATTTATATAATATAGTTGTTGTTTCTATAGGTATGTTTCCACAGCAACTGTAGAATCACCACAACAGATTGATTACTATAGTTGTTACCATAGCAACTGTAGAATCACCACAACAGATTGATTACTATAGTTGTTACCATAGCAACTGTAGAATCACCACAACAGATTGATTACTATAGTTGTTACCATAGCAACTGTAGAATCACCACATCAGATCAATTACTTAAGTTGTTGTTACCATAGCAACTTTAGAATCACCACAACAGATCAATTACTATAGTCGTCGTGTCACCATAGCACTGTAGAATCACCACAGCAGATCAGTTACTATAGCTGCTGAGCAGACTCATTCAAGTACTTTACTATAGCATGATGAGTAGAGTATTGTGTCTCGTGTAGGTTGTCTTGTTGTCTGTTTTTAAATGAGCATGGTTTCCTCTGAGAGCCGTTTTTACCTCTACAGCAGGTTTCTGATAATCAGCCATAACCCAGCAGCCGGTCATGATGAGCGGTGTTTCAGCGACTGTGACCCCGAGCCCGACCCTCACCTCTGAGTTTGACACATACTCACACGTTCACACTGTCCTCATCGTGCTCATCTTCAGCGCGGTGTGTTTTCTGCTGCTGATGGCCTTCTTCTACGCCTTCTGCTTCCACTGCTCTCTTCAGACGCAAACCTCAGACGTGCGCAAGAACTCAGGCTGCAGTCTGGATAGAGAAGACGCCACCTTCAGACGCAGCTCCTCCACTCCATCGGTGGCAAACACTCTCTGAAAAAGACTGACATCTGATTTAACCTCTAGCTTTTTACATACATACCGGCCACTTTATTAGGTACACCTTACTAGTATAGGGCTGGACCCCTTTTGCCTTCTGCCTTAATCCATTGTGGCAGAGATTTAGCAAGCTACTGGAAATATTCCTCAGAGATTTTGCTCCATATTGACATGATAGCATCACACAGTAGCTGCAGATTTTAAATCATTGGCAATGCCTCATGGAAATTGAGGTTCTTCACCTCATTAAAGCCATCTTGTATCTTTATCTTTTGTGTTTAATTTTTATATGCAGTAAAGCCTGAAAATATTCATACCCTGTGGCTAATTCTGACTTGAAGATACTTTTTGTCAATCAGCAAGTTTTTGATTTGACCAAAAATAACCCAGGCTCTTCCAAAAATGATAATAAGACTATGTACAAGAGGCATCCTTGTGAAAAAAAAAAAAATTTAATTATAAATATTATTATTAATAAATAATAATAATTATTATTATTGTTGTTGTTATTATTAAATGATAGTAATAAATAATAATAATATAATATAATAAAATAATAATAAACAATAATAATAAAAATAAATATAATTTAAAAAAATAATTAAATAATAATAATAATAATAAAAATTATAAAATAATATTTTTGCCCAGCACTAATAGTAATAATAATAATAATAATAATAATAGTAATAATAATAAATGATAAAAATAATAATAATAAATAATAATAAGAATAATAATAATGATAAAGATAATAAAATAATAATAAAAACATAATAAATAATAATAATAAGAATGACAAAATATAATAATAATAATAAAATTTATACAATATATAATACTATAATAATAGTAATAAATGATAATTATAATAATAAATAATAATAATATAATATATAATAATCAGGAGCTGATTTAATTAATAAGCAGGGCAAGCAGCCGCTTAGGGCCAATGAAATTTGGGGGCCCCAATACATACCTAGAAGTATGAATTACATATTCTAAAGTGTTAATATAATTATTAGATTGGTGTAAATTTCTCCCGCAACAACATTTTTTCATATTATTATTTCTTTTAAAAAAAAGTTAATGAAGAAAAGATGATTAAGGGTGCATATTAGGACTGTGGGGCTACATGGTTAGAATTGCTTTGGGCAGTCAAACAATTAAATCTGCCCCTGATTATAATAGTAATAATAATAATAATAATATGCTATAATAATTAAAATCTGATTGATTTCCAGGACATTCCAGTCATTAGCACACATGCTGAGATCAGAAACTGCACTGCAAATGTCCATTACTCAGAGAGACTGGAGCAGTGTGTGGTGAATCTACCATTAGCACACAGAACACATGGTGCTTTTCTCCGAGCTCTGGGAATCACAGGATCCATCCGGAGACTCTATGATTGAGTCTCGAGTGTTGAATTCTGGTGATTGGAGCTCGATGTGCGGATCCTGAAGATTGCTGTCCTGCAGAGACTCCTATAATGAGACTGAGAGAGAGAGAGAGACGTCTAAAAGTGTTATATACAGTAAGAGTTCAGCCTTCACAGATCTCTCTTTTACATTTATATTTTCAACAGAATGCTTTACAATAATATATTTGTGCATACACTGACAATAAGACTGACATCCGATTTAACCTCTAGCCTTATATTTATATATACATAAACCGGCCACTTTATTAGGTACACCTGACTTGTACCGGGTTGGACCCCGTTTTACCTTCAGATCTGCCTTAACCCTTGCTGGCAAAGATTCAACAAGCTACTGGAAATATTCCTCAGAGATTTTGCTCCATATTGTCATGATAGCATCACACAGTTGCTGCAGATTTGTCGGCTGCACATCCATGATGCCAATCTCCCGTTCCACCACATCCCAAAGCTGCTCTATTGGATTGAGCTCTGGTGACCGTGGAGGCCATTTGAGTGCAGTGAACTCATCGTCATGTTCAGCAGTCTGAGATGATTGAGCTTTATGACATGCTGCGTTATCCTGCTGGAAGTAGCCATCAGAGGATGGAGACACTGTGCTCATAAAGGGATGGACATGGTCAGCAGCAATACTCAGGTAGGCTGTGGCGTTGATGCTCAATTGGTACTAATGGACCCAAAGAAAATCTCCCCCACACCATTACACCACCACCACCAGCCTGAACCGCTGATACAAGGCAGGATGGTCCATGCTTTCATGTTGTTGAGGCCAAATTGTGAGCAATTCAAATGTTTGCTCCCCTCTAACTGGCCACCAGCATTTTTCATCAGCTGTAAAACACAAAATCATCCTGAAGGAAAGTTACTCCAACTATGTAGAGTTGTTATGCTGTAACTACAAAACACGAGCAGCTGTCAAAACTTCCTTTCATTCAGCTTCAGTGCTGCGCAGATCCTGCACTTTACCTCTGTAGTATAGTATAGTATAGTATAGTATAGTATAGTATAGTGTAGTATAAATCAGAAATATATTTAGATTAAGGGACAGTATTTGCCATCTGAAGTTTATTTTAGAGATGCACGGCTGCTTTACTTGCAATCAAAGTCAGTGTCAGAAGCTTCAAACTCCCCAGAGAGAAACTCGATCTGAGTGTCGTCATTGGCCAGAGTCACATATCACACATGCGGTCAGGTCAGAGGTCAAGGCCAAATCACCCTGACAGACATACCACAAATAAATAAATATATAAATAAATAAATAAGAAGAAAAACTGCAAACAATATTTTACTACTGCACACTTTTGCAGTGTTTTTCAAATAGTACAAATAGTAAAATATTCTCAGCTTAATATGCATTTACTTGAGAATCAAAGATAAGCTTAAGGCTTAAGAAATCAAAGACTTGGGTAATGAAGTTTGAAAATAGTTAGATAGTTCAAAAAATGTCTGGGGTTAGTTACTGTATATACAGAAATTTGATGTATGGGCATACTGTATATGAACATATTCAATTGGCGACAAAATTAACAGATTATATACAATTATATAAGTGATGTTTAACTGAGCAGGGACATTTTCACAGTATTTCCTATTATTAAATATTTTTGTGGCATTTTTAAATAAGTTAGTGAAGCCTTTAAACGTCACTTTAAGCAGAATACTAGTCTCCTAAAAGTATCATGATGACAGCACATAATATTAGACTAGACATTCTTCAAGACACTAGTATTCAGCTTAAAGTGACATGTAAAGGCTTCACTAGGGTAATTAGGGTAAAGTTAGGGTAATTAGGCAAGTCATTGTATAACAGTGGTTTGTCCTGGAGACAATCCAACACTAATATTGCTGAAGGGGGCTAATAATATTGACCTTAAAATGGCTTTAAAACAATTAAAACTGCTTTTATTCTAGCTGAAATAAATCAAATAAGACTTTCTCCAGAAGAAAAAATATAAGAGGAAATACTGCGAGAAATTGCTGATTCATTCATTCATTTTCTTCTCAGCTTAGTCCCTTTATTATTCTGGGGTTGCCACAGCGGAATGAACCACCAACTTATCCAGCACGTTTTTTTTTTTTTTTTTTTTTGCACAGTAGATGCCCTTCCAGCTGCAACCCATCTCTGGAAAACATCCACAAACACTCATTCACACACACACTCATACACTACGGCCAATTTAGCTTACCCAATTCACCTGTACCGCATGTGTTTGGACTGTGGAAGAAACCGAAGGACCCGGAGGAAAGCCACGCGAAGCCAGGGAGAACATGCAAACTCCACACAGAAACACCAACTGAGCCGAGGAAATTATAATTTAAAAATAATTGAATAAATAAAATAATGAAAATAAATGAAAAATAATTAGCTTAAAGGGGCTGATAATTTTGTCCTTAAAATGGCGTTTAAAAAATTAAGAACTGCTTTTATTCTAACCGAAATAAAATAAATAAGACTTTCTCTAGAAGAAAAAATATTATCAGACATACTGTGAACATTTCTTTGCTCTGTTAAACAACATTCGGAAAATATTTGGAAAAGAAAAAGAAATTCAAAGGGGGCGAATAATTCTGACTCCAACTGTATATTTCAGTAAGAGAATGGTTTCATCATCTCTGAAGGCATCAGGTGTTTATTATGGGGTTGGCAGGTGTGCGTGCGTGCGTGTGCGTGCGTGTGTGTGTGTGTATGTGTGTGTGTGGCACTGAATGCTTGTCCTCTTTTAGCTGATGTCGTTTGGCTAAATGTGCAGTGATGATGTCATGCAGCTCCGGAGACGAGTGTATAGAGCGAGACTTCAGCGCTTCACACACACACACAGCACTGTCATCTGCTGCAGACACACTCAGGTAAGTCACGGTCCGTGTGTGTGTGTGTGTGGTAATATAATCTACATACAGTTGAAGACAAAACTAATATCAGGCCTCCTATGAAATGTGATTTATTTCTAAGATCCAAGCTCTGTTTAATGGAGAAGATGATTTTTATTAATGCATTTCTAATCATAACAGTTTTAATAACTCATCTCTAATAACCGATTTCTTTTATCTTTGTCATGATGACAGTTAATAATATGACAGATATCTTCAGGACACTAGTATTCAGCTGAAAGTGACATTTAAAGGCTTCACTAGGGTAATTAGGCAGGTAAATATTGTGAAATACTCTTAATATTGACCATAGCAGTTAAAAAAAAAAAACATGTTAAAGATCTTTTATTCAAGAAAACCTCAAAGAAAAACGTTCTGCAGAAGGATATGATATTACATACTGTGTTAAACATTCTTGCTCTGTTAAACAGCGCTTGGGCAATATTTGAAAAAGAATTGAAATTTCAATTCTTTTATTAATAATTTGAATTTCTTCAAATAATAATAATTCTGGCAAATAATTTTGTCTTCTGCTGTATGCATGCACGACAAAATACTGTATAGAATTTAAGCATAATGCTCCTAGAGGCTCAGTCAAAACAGCATTATTAATGATGGGTCAAAAAGCATGAATTATGTTTATCCATTTCACATATTAACATTCAGCAGAACCTATATTGGCATCTGGGGTTGTTTATGAGGAGCAAAGTGCTTTTATTTAGCACGTTTGTAAAATAATAATAATAATTAATAATAACAAAATTTACATCAAATCTATCACAAACAATTTAGCAGCAATATGTTATATAATCTGTTAAAAGCAGTATAATTTTGCATATACAGTTGAAGTCAGAATTATTAGCCCCCCTGAATTATTAGCAGATTCTTTCAACACATTTCTAATCATAATAGTGTTAATAACTCATCTCTAATCACTGATTTCTTTTATCTTTGTCATGATGACAGTAAATAATATTAGACTAGATATTCTTCAAGACGCTTCTATTCAGCTTAAAGTGACATGTAAAGGCTTCACTAGGGTAATTAGGGTAACTAGGCAGGTTAGGGTAATTAGGCAAGTCATTGTATAATGATGGTTTGTTCTGTAGACTATCAGAAAAAATATAGCTTAAAGAGGCTAATAATATTGACCTTAAAATGGTGCTTAAAAAATTAAGAACTGCTTTTATTCTAGCCGAAATAAAACAAATAAGACTTTCTCCAGAAGAAAAAATATTATCAGACATACTGTGAACATTTCCTGAATCTGTTCAACATCATTTGGGAAATATTTAAAAAAGAAAAGAAAACTCAAAGGTGAGCAAATAATTCTGACTTCAACTGTGTATATATATATATATATATATATATATATATATATATATATATATATATATATATATATATATATTACAGTAAATTAACATTTTAAAGACATACATAAAAATGAAGTAATAAATTATATGTAATATTAATTTGATAATAATAACAATAAATAAATAAATAAGTAAATAAATACATTTGTTTTTATTTTGTGGATGTGCATGACTCAATGGCTGTAATGTCTGTGCAGAAGAAGGGAGGATGCAGACGGCACATCACAGCCTCAACAAACACAGACAACAGCAGGCCATGATGCTGAGCAGAGAAGCCAAAGGAGGTACACACACACACACACACACACACACACACACACGCACAAGTCCAAGTACACATGCGCAAACACACACACATGCACTTACATATACACACACACACACACACAAACACACACACACACACACACACACACACACAAACACACACACACACACAAACACACACACACACACACACACACACTTACACTTACACATACAAACACACACAAGAGGATGCCAACCATACAAGAACTTCAGGGACAACAAACACTTAATACACAAACACACTTCACTGAACATGTATTATTATCATTACATTTAAATATTATGGGGCAGCACGGTGGCTCAGTGGTTAGCACTGTGGCCTCATAACAAGAAGGTCACTGGTTTGAGTCCCGGCTGGGTCAGTTGGCGTTTCTGTGTGGAGTTTGCATGTTCTCCCTGTGTTGAGGTGTGTTTCCTCCGGGTGCTCCGGTTTCCCCCAAAGTCCAAACACATGCGCTATAGGGGAATTGAGTGTGTGTGTGTGTGTGTGTGTGTGTGTGTGTGTGTGTGTGTGTTTTCCTGTCACCATAATCTGGCTCAGCTAAATCTGACGCTCTGTTAAAATGCCGCTTTAGGGCGAGTCTGTTTCTCCACTCTAATAATAATCAGCAGTGTTTCCAACATAACAGCAGACAAGACACAGAAACACACACATCAGCTACCGTGCAGGAGGTCAGAACACAGTTATATTAGCTAATGAAGACTAAAACTAAAGGTTATTGTACACTAAATTTAAAAGGTTATTGCACACTGAATTTATTCTGAGCATAATTTGTAAAACTAGAACTTGTTGTGTGTGTTTCCTCTTCTTGTTGGATCACCGAAGGCCTCTTCAGTTGTAAGCCGCTTCGGACAAAGGTTATGATAGTTAATGAAAACTAAAATATAAAACAATTGCCGTTCACTGAAATAAAAATACTTATTGCTTTGTAAAAAACTGAAGCTGGGTAACACTTTACAATAAGGTTCATTAGTTAATGCATTTACTAACATGAACTAAACATGAGCAACACTTGTACAGCATTTATTAATCATAATTAAACAATTACTAACATTAACATTAGTTAATGCAGCATGAGTTAACATGAACTAACAATGAACTTCTATATTTTCATTAACTAACGTGAACAAATACTGTGGTAAATGTATTGTTCATTGTTTGTTCATGTTAATAAATGCATTAACTAACATTAACTAATGAACCTTATTGTAAAGTGTTACCTGAAGCTGTGTACATACAAAACTGAAACTAACTACAATTATAGCAAAAACCTTCTTCGTTTTCGTACTTGTGACTGTATTTAATACATAATCTTACTGTAAGCCTTTTAGAAATAAATATAATTCGCGCTGGCGGTGTTTGACCCATCAGAGTCTGTAGTTCTGCTGCCATCGGCCAGATTGAGCCAGTTCTCCTCCAATCATCCTCGCTGTTGCTCATCCACAAGAACAACGAGTGGACATGACAACAGGGCGTAGATATGTACACTAGATATCGCATAGGGACCCTGAGCATGCGTCAATAGCGCCGCCATATTGGTACAGTGCTCCCAGGACAAATGTCCTTCAGCCGCACTAGTCAAGACAGTGTTATTACGTGAAGATGCGGGACTTTAGCGCTGTCTACGGGTGCAGTAACGAGCAAACAAAGAAAACAAAGCACAAAGGCAGAACATTTTATAGGTAATATTAAGTTTTCTTCTGTTTTTGTGTGTTCTGAACTTTTGTGCTAATCAGGTCACGTTATTGATGATAACAGTCACTTACTGCATTCACCATACGACAAAGCAGCTCCAACTCGCACTAAACACTCGGCATATGCTAGTTTTGTTGAATAAAATCAGCAAATGATGCAAAATAAACATGACAACGAGATGCTGCGCTGCCAGAAACTGGTATTATTGTCGGCTAACGTTAGTGAAAGAGTCGTTCATAACGGAGATTCATTCACAAACGAGTCGCTCCCTCCGTCAGTATGAGCAGTGAAAGCAGGAGAGGAGCTGTGTTTCAGGACATGATTAGATCTAATTTAACAGGGAGGGTGAATAGTACATTTCTGTACACACAAACACAAGCTTTTAGTCAGGAATGGCCGTGCGGTCACTGATCAATGCAGAAAAGTGATGTAAAATTATAATTTTCGTAATTAGAAAAAAAAATTACATACTAACATCCAGGAAAACTCCCGATCACAGATATATGTGTATGTGTGTATATCTCTGGCTTTGGATGGCCACAGTCCTCCACTGTACCTTGGTCCCGCATTCATTTCAAAGGAGCGCTACCCTGTAGCAAGATGGCGGCGCTATTGACGCATTCCGTCCAATAGACAACAATAGGCCAGGCGACATCTAATATATATATCTATGACCAAAGGGGAGTCAATGTGCCCATGTTGTACTGCTAAAACAATATTTGTCACCAAATAATCATGCCATTGGCTTAAACAAAGAGAAACTTGTGGCCAAATTAAGACTTAAAATCACCCCAGAGTGGAAAAAAACTAGTGAGGGGTTAATTTCTCAACAAAAAATCCCCAAAGCTGGCATTAAGCTTTTGAATATGCTGTGAAACACTTGAAGAATACGAGAGCACTCACTGAAAGCATGGTGTCTGTGTGCGAAGGTCTGAACCTGGGGAAGAAGATCAGCGTTCCTCGAGATGTGATGATGGAGGAGCTGAACCTGAACACAAACAGAGGATCCATCATGTTTCAGGAGCGCCAGAGGAGAGTGGAGAGATTCACACTGGAGAACGCAGCAGAAAACCCCAACTTCATATACGTAAGACACACAGATGAACAGAAACAAAACACTCTATAGCTAAGACACGACATGGGCTGCTATACGATTCTGACAGTATAATAACTTCTGGGTACATATATCATGGTGTCGTGATAACTGCTCTGAAATAAGTTATTTTTAATAAATGTCTGAGTAAAAAACTAGTTTTTTCTCATTGAACACTATATATTTCATTTTAGGAAGCATTTAACATATTTTTGGAGAACTAAACATGCTAAATATTTCAATTTAACCCTAACCCAAACCCTAATAATGCTACTCTTAAAACTAAATAAAATAGTTTGACCAAATAAATAGATAGAAATAAGAATGATATAACAAAAAAATCATAGCAAGTAACTAAAATGGTTTTAGATGCGTGAGTATATGTCGCGTCTATATTAGCAGAGAGATGACCCTGCTGAAAAATCCATCTTAAACCAGCCTAGGCTGGTTGGCTGGTTTTAGCTGGTTGACTAGGCTGGTTTTAGAGGGGTTTTGTCCATTTCCAGGCTGGTTTCCAGCCATTTCCAGTCTGGTCTTAGCTGGTCTGGCTGGAAAATGACCAGCTAAATCCAGCTAAAACCAGCTTGACTAGCCTGGTTTAAGCTGGACATAGCCGGTTTTGGCTGGACTCCCAGCCTGGCTAGGCTGGTCAAGCTGGTTTTAGCTGATCATCTCCCAGCCTGACTAGCTAAGACCAGCCTGGAAATGGCCAAAACCCCTCTAAAACCAGCCTGAACGACCAGCTAAAACCAGCCAACCAGCCTAGGCTGGTTTAAGATGTTTTTTCAGTAGGGAACTGAAGTCAAGGACGTGTTGGGTTTTGTAAGACCCTGAAAATGTTGACGTCTCGCGTTCTCTCCATCTTTTGTGTGGAGGAAGAGGATTCAGCACTAATGTTCCCGATGTGGCTTCAGGGTAAAGGTCATGCATGTCTGCTTTACATAAACGTCTGTGTCCCGAAACTCTTCCGGCAGAACCACATAGAGCAGCATGCAGAGAGTCAGACAGAGGTGCAGGGAGGGAAGGAGAACCTGCTGCATCCACTGGCTGGTAAACACAGTCTGGCCGCGACCCTGAAGAACACCGTGGCCAAGAAGGGAAGCCCAAACGCCCTCGCACCAGGTGCACACGCCGCACAGCAGACTGTATACAACACACGATATACTGCAGCTCTGTTACCCGTCAATCAGAAGCATTTATCATCATTGTGTTTTTGAGGCCTACATATATATATATATATATATATATATATATATATATATATATATATATATATATATATATATATATAT